AAACGTTTCTTCCCCCCATTTGAAATAAAGATGGATGGCTGCATTGACTCTCCCTTGGGTGTCACTTAAAAGATAAGTTCACCTTTCTAAAAATAAATAATAAATGTACATTTTTTGCAGATAAAAAAATGAGCATTTTACTTTTCCAGGAGCCTGGAAAGGATTGCATCTGTGATCAGCAGGTCGCTGGTGCAGTGCAGGACTCCTGCAGACTGTCAGTGTAAGCTGTCTGCTCGTACGGTCAGACAGTTACACAATGACAGGAAGAATCAGTAGACTACCTAGAAAAGTTGTCACCTGCAAAGGCTGTCAGTAATTATAGTTAATTTATTCATAGATCTCTGTGAATGAATGACGCGGCCATGTTATTTTTAATTGTAAAAGCAGGTGCGTGGAGAAGATCAACCAGCTCACTGCAGAAGTGGAAACAGATTATATGTTCCACCCTAAAAAGGGGTATGACCAGGGGCAGACTGACCATTTGGAAACTCGGGCACTGCCCGAGGGCCCGGGGTCAGTAGGGGGCCTCATGAGATGCCCCTGGTACCTTTTTCATAGGCTTTTTTGAGTTTGGGCAAGGACACAGGGGCCCCATGATCCCCTATTGCCCGGGGGCCCCATGAGTTGTCAGTCCGCCCCTGGGTATGACATGTAGCATGTTCCCAAAGGTCAACTTAACCGTTAATTTGGATCTTATAATGAAAGTTAACACTTAAAGCAAAACCTGAACTGACACTTAAAGGCAACCTGAGATAACCCTTTGACAACGAGCTGGTTGCTCGAAACATGTCAGGGGATCCACCCAATCGACCATTTTGCACCCTGGCTCGTTATTTACGAGCTTTGCAAGGTGGAGCGTTTTTGGAAGAATGCTATCAGGAGTCTGAGCTTCGCTGGACCTACCAGGGAGACTGAGATGACCCCAGAGTGAGATTCACCATCCCCGATGACTGGATGCTATCTTTACTGCTCATGGGGCCACCGACGATGTACTTGATGTCATACATACAACGCTCAGTCTGTATGTTCCTTTGGTAAGCGCATAATTGCACTAGATTTTCTGAATATACGAACTGGATTTGGAACGCACCGAGCACCAATTGCTTTTGATATCACCTGGTGTATTTCATATCTTTTATATCGGCTACCTTTATGAACTTATCCCTATAAGTGCTACTTTTCCTGATGAACTGGATATATGAGTCTCAATATAAAGACTGCTATATGATTATCTAATGTTATGCGGTTGATCTATATATCATAATATTCACCTTATCATCCTACAGCGCTGCATACCCTACTATACATAAAACATGTTTTCAGTGATTGCTTTTGTTTGTGACTCAAATATTGATGTCAGAGGGTCATCATAATAGCCACTGCAGCCAGCTTTTTATGAAGGAGGAGTCACCAATAGCAGCTTCCATTTTCTGTTGGTACTGGTTCATTTTAACCTAAATCAGTAAGGCCATTGTCCGCATTCAAAAATTTTATTTTGAATGAAAACGTACAAGTTGTGTTACTATATTAGTTTAGGGGTATCCTAAATTTCTAAAGTCACATCATATGGTTTACGAATGTTTGCGTGCTGAAAAAAAATCAGTTTTATGAGCAAATAAAATTTAAATGAATGCGTTTAATGTGGAGGTTTTGTTGTAGTAATTAGCATTATATGATTCAGAACAGAAAAAGCACTCAAGTAAAAACATAGCAAAGAAATTACAATAAAACTTAATCCCGTCAGAGCTAGAATTATCCCCCAAAACAGAGTCCCCATTAACAGCAAGGTCCCCATCAGAGCCTCCTCCTATATCCAGATCCCCATTAGAGCCCCCCTCTCGGGGTCTTCATCAGAATTGCCCCCCCCCCCATACATGAATCCACCCTTACCTCACACACTAACAGCGTGGCTGGAGAGCCTGGGAGTGTGGTGGTAGTAGCAGGTGGAAGTGGAGCAAGTCTAGATGGTGGAAGTGACATTCTGTGAATGTTGGGACAAGCACTATTAGATGTTCGAGCTGGCAGTTGGCCGTAGTTTGGAGACCCCTGGAATAGATAAAAACTGCTTCTCCATAGCTCTCTTGTAACCTAAGTATAGGTAGCCTTATTAATGTGGTCTTCGGCTACCAGAGAATTGTGGATGTTTCATGTCAATCGAGCCTATGGGTAGATACTGTCTGGTAGTAGTGGATTGATTTAAAAAAGGATCAACAAAGCACAAACTTGTGTTGCTCTGTTAACAAGCTGCAAGTGATATGTAATAGGCAAGTATGGCTGCTCCAATATACATATATAATTACAAACTATACATGCAAACAAAGGTTTAAAATTCCTAAGTGCCCTCCCTACATGAACCTTGACTTTTTAGCTCTGCTTTAGAATTCTTGGCACCTGTCTCTGTATCCCACTATCCAAAGTATACCTCTGTTGGCTGGCAGGTCTTCCTCATCAGATAATGGGACAATGGGTTGTATCAGTGCCCTAAATCAAAGCTGAAGTAAAAAATTTATTATGTCAGGTACTTGATGCCCACTTTTAGGCAATACTATTTTAAGACCATTTGGACAGGGCTAATCTGTCCTGTCCACAAAATGTGTACAGAGAAGTTCTAAAGCATTTTTAAATATTTGGAAATATTCTCTGGCTTAGCTTGTTCCCAGATTCCAGACATGTCACCAAAGCTCCAATCTAGACTTGCTACTTCTGTGGGAGTCCAAGGAGTTTATTTATCAATGTTTAGACCCAGGGTTCCGTCCTTTTCACAGTCAATAAACAGACCCACCAAATAGTTGTTGGCAGGTGTTTCAGGGAACTGTAAGAGAGAGCAAACATTTCTACTTAGACCTGGGGCATATTTGGTTTCCTTTCTGTAGTGTCAGGTTTTCAACACACCTATTGGATGTTCTATCTGGACAATGATGGTGGCTTTCATCAAAAGGCAAATATTTACATCAGTATTCTGACAGATTCCCTAGCTTGGAAGGGTACTCTGTAATTGTTGCTCTGCATGTGTCAGTAAATGTATACTCCAGTAAAGATTGAAATGCAGTCCTTGATAGCACATTTTATTAATTGTGTACATCATAGGATGCAGCGGACGTGATATTTATGACTATTTGGGTTACGCTGCCACCTTCTGGTGAATGGACACTGGATTCTGGTAAAAAAAAGGCATAATCCCAGCCGATTTTTAGCTAGTGTCCTTAGGTGATGAATGTTTCTCCAAAGATTCCATTCATGGGCTTTACTTTCACTAATTCCTGGCCTGTTCCTAAAAGCTTAGCACCTCTTAGGGGTTAGTGGGGGCTTTTTCTGGATTGGTTGCTACAGCCAGCAGGCCAAGAGAGGACTGAACCCAGACTCCGCATGTGATGGCGGGGATGGCCTGTAACTCAACCACTTGCCACTGGATCCTGCAGGCAGGGATCTTCAGGGTACAGTGTACTAGGTCATAAAAGAATACAATAGGGGGCCCCAGCTAATTGCAGTGTTATAAAAATGCTCTTTTATTAAAAGGACAAATGGCAACTCGTTTAAAAACAAAGGATTTCTCATCTCAAACATGCCGCTCTGTTCTTGTCCAGCCTAATGGTGCACTCATCTGTGCTGAAGCATGCAGCCGCCGATTTGGTGGATGAACACTAACAAGCCGAACCCAGAAGCCCTGGAACCACCTTGGAATGAACAAAGGGTGCAAACCAGGAAGTGATGCCACACGTGGGAGGAACAGCGGCAAGGGGGTGTGGCTATGCGTTTCAGAGTGTCCTAGCTTTTTCTTTTTTTTCCCTCAAGCCCACCGCTTCCACCCAGCAGCACAGAGTGTATGTACCCTGTCTGCCCCCACCTTGTGTGCACCTGCAGCCGGCAGCAGCAGAGAGACCAGCTGAGATACGATCCATCTATGGTCGGCTTTAGAGTTTCAGCAGAGGGGGCAGGTAAATTGGAATCAAGATATGAAGTTTCCTTTAGCAAGTGCTCAAGTAAATTTCCAAAAGATCTTCAAAAACTAATCCCAAGATTGCGTCTACCACGCTTAACATCAGCATTGCTTGATATTGGGAGTTCACAAAGCAGAGTAAGGAAGTGAATTGCAATGCTAATTAAAAAAATGTCACAAATTTATTACAATTGATTAAACTCAATAGGACGGATATACTAAAACTGGAGCACACAGAATTCGGTGCAGAGGTGCCAATCAGCTTCTAACTTCAGCTTGTTCAATTAAACTTTGACAATAAAACATAGAAGCAGGTTGGTTACTATGCAGCTGCACCAGATTCTCTGTGCGCCAGTTTTAGTAAATCTCTTACCCCTAATTTGTTTCGCAGCATGCATTGCTCCCTCTTCCGTCTCTAGAATATTGAGTTTCCACACAGATGTTGCTGCTAGGAAATTGTTCCTTCCAATGAATTGGAAAGTCTTGACTTGGAAGGTATTTTGGAGAACCTCTAGGTTAAAGGAACGCAATCATCAGAGGAGTGGATGTTGCTGATCAACTTACTGGAACTTCAGGTGATTTGGCTTGCTCTCCTACACTGATCTATCTACTTCAGGGTATTTCTGTCAGGGTGCTGTTGGACAATGCCACAGTTGTGGCATACAGTACATCAACCAATAAGAAGTTGTGCTGCTTAGGAAGAAGCTGACCTGAGCTTTTCTTGGCCAGTACTTCCCTTTCAGGTTGTTTCCACTGTGGACATTGAAAATTGGCAGGTTGACTTTCTCAGCCTTCATCAACTGTTAGTGGTATTATAACAAAGTGGAAGCAACTGGGAACAGCAGCAACTCAGCCATGAAGTAGTAGGCCACATAAAAAGTCCATCTTTGACAGAGTGGGGTCAGTGCATGCTGAAGTGCGCAGAAGTTGCCAACTGTCTGCAGAGTCAATAGCAGCTAAAGACTTCCAAACTTTGTGTGGCCTTCAGATTAGCGCAACAATAGTGCGTAGAGAGCTTCATGGAATGGGTTTCCATGGCCAAGCAGCTAAATCCAAGCCTTACATCAACAAGTGCAATGCAAAGTGTCGGATGCAGTGGTGTAAAGCACGCCGCCACTGGATTCTAGAGATGTGTTCTCTGGAGTGATGAATCACGCTTCTCTGTCTGTTAATTTGATGGATGTGTCTGGGTTTGGCAGTTAACAGGATAATGGTACTAGCCTGATTGCATTGTGCCAAGTTTAAATTTCGGAGGGGGGATTATGGTGTGGGGTTGTTTTTCAGGGGTTGTCCTTGGCCCCTTCGTTCCAGTGAAGGGGGCTCTTAAGACCTCAGCATACCAAGACATTTTGGACAATTTCATGCTCTCAACTTTGTGGGAACAGTTTGGGGATGGCCCCTTCCTGTCCCAACATGACTGTGGACCTTGCTTTGTGCACTGGTGCGCAAAGACATGGATGAGTGTTTTGGGTGGAGGAACTTGACTGGCCTGCACAGAGTCCTGACCTCAACCCGAAAGAACCCATTTGGAATGAATTTGAATGAAGACTGGAAGCCAGGCTTTCTCGTCCGACATCAGTGCCTTCCCAGAAGCGTTGAAGCTGTTATAGCTGCAAAGGGTGGGCCAACTCAATATTGATCCCTATGGACTAAGACTGGGATGCCATTAAAGTTCATGTGCGTGTAAATGCAGGCGTCCCAATACTCTTGGCAATATAGTGTATAGCCAGACACATGTAATGTGCTTTTCCGGATTGGTCAAGTTTTCTGCTTTATGGTCGCTGGCTTTGATAGCATAACTATTGAAGACCAAGTCCTAAGGGAAAGGGGTGTTCCTGAGTCTTATTCCTATCCGGAGTTGACCTTCAGAAAAGTGTATCCCCATATATTGGAAGCTGTTCTTCTATAGTGTGAGGCTTTTAGGTTTCATCTGCGGCAGTTTGATGTTTGGCTTTTCTCAAATCTGCTGTGGAGATGTCTCTTATTAAGAGACAAATCTTGGCCTTCGTCATTCTGTTTCATAGACCCATAGCATCTTATTCTATGGTAAAAGCCTTTGTGCAAGGTGCCCACACAGATTGTTTTGCCTGCGTGGTCCACCTTGCCACTGTGGAACCTTAATTTGGATGGCTGTTTTACAGACTTCTCCTTTTTGAGTCTCTCTTGCAGAGTCCCTTGTAGCTTCTCATGAGCAAGGCTGTCTTTCTAGTTGGCTGCACTTTCCTGCAAGGAGCCCTTCCTGGATGACGCCCCCTCCTTACCTAAGGTGGTTTCTTTGTTCCACCTGAATCTGAACATGGGTTGCCATCTTTTTAACCTATCCTTAAACATCCTAAGAAGGTGCTCACTCTTTGGATGTTGATTGGATTGTTCTAAACTTATCTGAGGTCTACAGCTTCATTTTAATAGTCTGATTCCCTGTTTGTTTTGCCTGAGTGTCCTCACAAGGGTCAGCCTGCTTTTTGTTGCAGTATTTCTAGGTGGATTCATCAGCTTATTTCTCAGGCCTATGATGTCAGAGGAAAGGTGCCTCATTTTCTGTTCAAGGCCTATTCCATCAGAGGTGTTAATGCTTCACATCTCTGCTGATGTAGAAGAAAAGTCATGTAGGCATTGTAATGGTGGTGTTGTGTTTTTGGGTTCTGGGTATGTTTGGCCTTGTTGCTGTGTTGCCTGATCCTCGTGTTCAGTGCTTTAGGACATTCCAAGTATTCATGAATATAATTATGAAATTAGGATTTTTTATTTACAGTTGTGTCCAAAATTATTCAACCCCCACTGAAATTGAGTGTTTTGGCCAGTTTGACATTGCTTTTGATCATTCAGTCATCTTGCTTACATTTACATTAAAGAGGCACTTGTAGGTCAGACAAATATAACATAACAGTTATAATGAAATAACCACAAATGTCTCTGTGCTCACAGCATTATCAGTTTTATTCAACCCCCAAGTGACATTCAATCTTAGTACTTAGTACAGCATCCTTTTACAGTTATAACAGCTTTTAAACGTGAAGCATAGCTTGACACAAGTGTCTTGCAGCGATCTACGGGTATCTTCGCCCATTCTTCATGGGCAAAGGCCTCCAGTTCAGTCACATTCTTAGGCTTGCGCACTGCAAACTGCTTTCTTTAAGTCCCACCAGAGGTTCTCAATCGGATTTAAGTCTGGTGACTGCGATGGCCACTCCAAAATGTTCCAGCCTTTCCTCTGCAACCATGCTCTAGTGGACTTGGAGGTATGCTTGGGATCATTGTCCTGTTGAAAGGTCCAACGTCTCCCAAGCCTCAGGTGTGTGACGGACTGCATCACGTTTCCATCCAATATCTCCTGGTACTGAAGAGAATTCATGGTACCTTGCACACGCTGAAGCTTCCCTGTACCTGCAGAAGCAAAACAGCCCCAAAGCATGAAGAAGCTGATTGACCCTCCACCATGCTTCACAGTAGGCTTGTTCTTTTCATCATAGGCCTTGTTCTTCCTCCTCCAAACATAGCGTTGATCCATGGGCCCAAACAGTTCTAATTTTGTTTCATCAGTCCACAGAACACTATCCCACAACTTTTGTGGTTTGTCCACATGGCTTTTGGCATACTGCAGTCGACTCTTCTTATTCTTTGGAGACAGCAAGGGGGTACGCCTGGGAGTTCTGGCACGGAGGCCTTCATTACGCAGTGTGCGTCTTATTGTCTGGGCTGAAACTTCTGTACCCACATCTGACAAATCTTTTCTCAGTTCCTCAGCAGTCACACGGGGACTTCTCTCCACTCTACGCTTCAGGTAGCGCACAGCAGTCGAAGTCAGCATCTTCTTTCTGCCACGACCAGGTAGCGTTTCAACAGTGCCCTTTGCCTTGAATTTGCGAATGATGCTTCCTAAGGTGTCTCTTGGTATGTTTAACATCTTTGCAATCTTCTTATAGCCATTGCCCTTCCTGTGAAGAGAAATCACCTCTTCTCTTGTCTTCCTGGACCATTCTCTTGCCTTCACCATGTTTGTAACCACACCAGTAAATGTCTAGAAGGAGCTGAGTATCACAGTCATTTTAAAGCTGCCTAATTGGTGCTTATTATGCTTGATTGCTGCTCGGTGACATCCACAGGTGTTTTCAATACCTGATGGAAAGCACCTGTATGAACCTCTGTTCTTCAGAGTGGTAGTCTTTAAGGGGTTGAATAATTGTGGCAATGAAGAAACCACATAAGAACCATTTACTACTGTATTACATAAACAATTGATGTCATTTTAGTTGCATTTGGGTAGTTACAACGTCCTTGTAGGATTTGATTCTGAATACAATTCCAAATGTACACTATAGTCCCTAAACCCCTTTACAGCATTGGGGGTTGAATAATTTTGGACACAACTGTACCTGTAAAATACTTGCTTGTTTAGCAGGGAGGGGATTCTTGCCTTTTTTGGCTAGTGTCCATTTACCTGCATAGCAGCTTAACAAAAGTAATCATAAATATGAAGTCTTCTGTCTCCTGTTGTATTTCAAGAAAAGAATTTACCAGGTAAATCAAAAATCCTACTTTTACCTGCTCGGGCTCTCATCTAGGCATAGATGTTGTACACCAGTCCATCCCACTTCCTTCTTCCTAATGTGGTGATCTGAGGATATCTACTTGCTGGAGAGCTATTGGAAAAAATGGTATTCTCATTGTGTCTCATGCTGAAAATTTGCCTTGGAGGTTTTGAATGTGACTAAGTAGAGGGAAAGTTGAACAGTGTAGATTTCAGTAATTACACTTTCTGTGATTCTGTAAGGTGCTTTCTAGATTCTGGCAACAGTTAAATACTTGGAAGTCATATAAAGATACAATAAGTGAACTTCTGTTTTTAGTGCAGTTGCTGGATGGCATTCATAATTTGTTCATTTAATTTGCTTTTTAACTAATTGCCATCTGCCCTATAGCAAACAGAAGTACTGCTACAGGGTGGCACGGCATCGCAAAATCATGTGTGTGTATATAAACGCGATTTGCATTTCCGGGTAGGCGGTGCACGTGCGCCACCCTACCTGTGCTGCTATTGGTGGCTGGGGATGTCAATCACCAGGTCCCAGCCAGCGATTCCCAGATGGAACTCGGCGATCATCAGCAAATAACATGTCAGCAATAACATGCTGCTTTATATCTCTTTACATACAAAGCAGCATGTATGCCAAGTAAAACACAACACAGCACACAATGTAAAACACACACAGCATACTGTTAACCCTTTGATCACCCCAGGTGTTAACCCCTTCCTGCCCAGTATTAGTACAGTATCAGTACTTTTTATTAGCACTGATCACTGGATTACTGTCACTGGGGATGTCAGTGGTAGTTAGTTCCCCCCAGTGTCAGTATGCCCGCCGCAGTGTCGCAGTTCCTCTATAAGTCGCTGATCTAGTTTCTAAAAAAAAAAAATTAAAGTATATATACTGTCATTTGTAGACACTATAACTTTCAAAGACATGTAGCAGAATACAGTTTGGCCTAAATTTATGACTATATTTGATTTTTATTTTTTTGCCATTGTTTTTTAGGAAAAAAGGCAAAAATATTGTTTGTTTTTTTTCAAAATTGTCGGACTTTTTTTGTTTATAGCGCAAAAAATAAAAACGACTGAGGTGATAAAATAACCCCAAAGGAAAGCTGTGGGGAAAAATGTCATCAATTTAATTTATGTACAGCGTTGCATGACTGCACAATTGTCAGTTAAAGTAGCGCAGTGCCGCATAACAAAAAATGGCCTGGTCAGGAAAGGGGGTAAATCCTCTGGAGGACACGTGGTTAAAAGAGAAGTTTGGAATTGTAAAAAAAAAAAGAAATCAATCATACTTACCCAGGTAGATGCAACATCAGTCTAATGGTACATCTGTTCTGCAACTCTTCTAAGACCAAGTACTGAGCGATGAAAGACCGCTGATTGCTCAGTTCTCAGTCTTCAGTGAGCAGAGAGCCGGTGACTGTCAGTCAGCATTTGCTGGAATGCTGAGCTGTGCAGGGAGTGGAAGCAGCTGGCTTAGGCTGTCAGTGGCTTGCTCGGAAGCTAATCCAGCTGCCAGTTCAGACACCGGGGTGCATCCTACAATGTCCACTGACAGCAGACGTTGGCCCGCTGTTGGCTGAATACAG